GGAAAAAAAAAGCTGGCTCACTACTTTTTTCTTTTCTTGGGCAGAGCCTGCCTTCCCGGGCTGCTGCCAGGCTGCCTGCAGAGCCCCTGAGCTGCACGGACCCTGGTGCTTCACTCCGTGGCTGTAGGGCAGCAAACTAAAACTCCTCAGAGGAGGAGTTTTAGTTTGCTGCGCCCTAAGTCATTTAAGGCACATTATGTTGCCGAATTTGCTACAGCAGCTGGAATTACAGTGCAATATGCTGCCGACGTGTGCAAACACCAACACCATTGAAGTGGCACAAAAGCATTTGACCTGCTTTGAAGTGTCATGCACACATGTCCCTCATTTCATCTACATGTGGCCTGAGCAGAATTTCAGTAGATAGAGCAAACGTGCGTTTACATAGGACTCCTGAATGGAGCTTCTTCAGACAGAGGGCACTGCTTCATGTAGCTCCAGTATATTTGGGGGTCTCGTGTGTTTGAAATTCAAGGATGCTGTTCTTGGCCCCTCTCCCATTTCCTGCTCGCCTGTTATGAGCTACTTGCTCAGTGAGCTCTATGGATTGCCCTTGAGAGGTGCAGTCTCTCCCCTATGTCTATAAAGAGAGACTTGGCATGTAAATGTGAATCACAGACCTGACTTTTGTTAGTATCTCCATTGACCCTATGGTGATCCTAAATTCCTAACAAGTCCAATTTGAAATTATTTCCTTGGCCAGGTGCACAAGGGTTAGGTGGGATGCTGCCTAGGTGGAAGCATATGCTGAATCACTTAATTCTAGTCTAAGCGTATTCATCTCGTCTAAGTGTGTTATTGTCACTGTCATAGCTTTAAAGACTACAGTATTATAGAAATGTGTGTATGAGTTTAAGCTGAAATTTATATGGAATATTTTTAGGGCTTGGGAGCCCTTGGCAACAGTGGAAGAATGAAGGAACTTTCTGTGTCAGAATGTAAGAAGATCACCGATAGCGGGATTCAGGTAAATCAAGACTTTTATAGGGATGTCCTCTTGGAAGTTCCTCTGTTTGTTCAAATTAACCAGGTCAAAAGTTGAGCTACTTAGTTTCCTTTTAACCCATCATATTTCCTTCCATCACCCAATCTGTCAGTTTTATCGTTTTTTTTCTAGGCCATTAGTAACTCTTAAGATTCCTTTGTGCTGTCTTTTAATATCCGCCACTTCCAAAATGTCAGCTACTTTAGTCTCTTTTCCAGCCTTCCTTCTCATATTTTTCTTTGCCAGTCAATCTAAAATTTGGCAGCCAAATGCTTTTCTTTCCTGGTGTATTATCCATGATTCTGCTTCACTTTCAAAGACCTGCACAGCTCTGCCTTGTCTTATATCTTGCACTTACTCTATGTCCATCCTTCTGATTTGGTCACTTCTCTCACGTTATCCTTTTCTGTTTCCTTAATTTTATCATTTCCTTTTCCATGTGGTCACAACCCTAACTTTGCCTAATTATAAATCTAAAATAAAACCAGAAGTTAAATAGTTAATAGCATTGTTAAATCAGAGACAAATACCCTTGATACGAATGAAATCACTTTACATTTCTCTTATTGTTTGAGGTTGTCTGCAGCCTCAGGCAGATATTGCTGCATAGGCAATGTTTAGTTCACTGTCTGAACATCATTTAGAAGCTTTGAAATTGTATAACGCTTAGGAATACATTTTTTAATGAAAGCTTATTTTCTAAGGAAGCACAAGATAGCAGACACAAGGGAAAAGTCCTCGCTTACTCAGCTACACTGCAACAGTCCACCCTGATCCTTTCTTACTACTCACAAAGCTTTTTCACTGTATCTGATTTATTCTTTAAGCTCTTGGGAGATGCTTGCTTTCTGCTGACTTGCACAGTGCCATGCAAAGGAATATGACAACTGCTGGTCCCTGATTCCACTCACCCAAACATTCCTTGGCTACTTTCACAATTTGTCCCCACTTATTTCTGTCCAGGACATACTTCTCTCATTGCTTATAATTCATGTGAAGAGCACTTTGCTTCTGTCTCAAGTATTACATCTCAGTCTTCTCCTTGGTCAGCTGTGGGGTTAAACACCTTAGGAATGGCCTTCAGAGAGATACCTGGTTGGTCTGTCTTTTCTGATTTTACTCTAAGGAAATTGTTTGCATATATTATACTTGGTTATTCATGGTCTCCTGCAGGTCATTATTATAACTTCATCTCATATCATTCTGCCTTACTGGCCCAAACTTTGATTCAGTACTTTTTTCAATGGTAATCTTTTTTAATAAGTGATATAAACTGTCATTAATATTTCATAATGGAACAAAAAATAAGTGTATGTCATTTTGACTAGGAAGAGATTTCTTAGCTGTTGTAGAAAGGAAAATGTCATGAGCTCTGCAGTAGTTTGAATAAACATTAAAAAAATGTTAAAACTTCAAATGCAAACTTTATTCAAAGGTTATGATGAAGCTAATTAATATCTGGCAACTGGCTGTAGTGCATATGCTTTTAACTGCATTTAGCTGGTTAATTTATTATCCAATATATAATAAACATCTTCCTACTCAGTCAGCTGACCAGCTTAAGCAAGTTTCATCATACAAAATGATATTTTAGGAATGTTTCTATTTTGAAATAACTGTTTTTATTGTGTCATTTTGATGTTTAAGTATTGATTATGTGCAACATTCAGGTGAAATCATGACCAAGAGATATTTTCTCTTGTGGTATGAAAGATTAGGCTAACAATGTTTTTATATGTACTAGAAGTTTAGACATACCCTTGCATCTTTGTGTAGCAGATGCTTATGGCTAGCAACCACTCTACGAGCAGTTATAGTTTCATAATGTAAGTAGAATGGAAAAGTAGTTAAATGATATAGAGACAAACTTTGTTTTGAAGCTGCCCAGAGTTTGAAGTTATTAACTGTTTACATTTATTGAACAGCTAGGATCTATGGAAGTGGTAATTAAAATAGATCATTAATTTTTTTTTTACCTCGCAACATCTAGATGAAAACAATGATGCTAATATATCATTTCAGTTTCATTTCACAGGTACAACACATCTTGATTAATTGTTTAAAGCTCTTCATTAATTTGAATGATACAGCATCTGTTTACAGTTTCTAACAGGGATGATATTTCCCATCTGAATATTTGTCATTTATACTATGCTCTGAAAGGTTACATGCATACTTAAAATTTTGATTTAGTAGCACTAATCAGGTTTTTTTTTTTATTACCAGAATATGTTCTTTTTCTTCTTTGGGAAACAGCAGCTGAGGTCCATACATTTTAGAGTGTGTTGGCACTTTTGAGCAAGTTGTGGATGCAGAATAGCTATAGGTTTGTACAAACAGAAGATGTGCACACATTTATACATTTATCTATGAATCCACACAAGCTAATGTTCTGCACATGCAACATATCACATTTGATACAAGACAAACAGTTTTATATGATCCCTCCTTGTAGGCTCTAAGGGCACTTTTATATGTGCTCTGGGGAGGGGTGAGGAGTGGGGGTGAGAGCCATGCTAATTAAAGCACTGCTGCATCTCCTATATCAATATCCCCGTGTTTAAAAATGGCAGCAGGGGCACTCAAACGAGCTTTAGTTCAAGTACCCCCACCACCATTTTTAAGCACAGAGATGCTGATACATGAGACACAGGAGGCTGCTGGAACGTGGCAGTTGCCATGCTCCAGCAGGAGCAATTAAATCGAGCCTGCTCCGACATGCAGGAATTCCAGCACACTGGAGCAGCCTCCGCGCTTGTGTATAGGCGCCCTAAAGGGCTGTCTGCACTGTTCCCATATGGCATTAGTTAGTGCTCTATTCAGATGTACCATAGATGCTGCCTGTTCAACTTCCCAGAACTGAAGTAGGAAAGTCCACTTAAATGTGGTTTGGAGAGTAACCCAAGACTTTCTTCTGAGAGACCCAGCCAGCACCACACTAAGTTCCAGCTCAGGAGATGGTGTGCACAGTGTGGGTGCAACAAGTCTCCATACAACACTACCCAAGCCCTGTACTGGCGTAATGACATGGACATGTTCTGAGACACTCATTTCATAAAGTATTTAAGTGCAGGCATACATTCCACTGACTTCAAGCACAGGCTAACTGCTTTACTGAATAACAGTTGAACTGCCATATTTAAGGTTAAGCACATGCTGAACAAAGTCTTTGTCACGGCGTGGGGCCTATGGGCGGCCATGATCCTGCTAGGCCCCCCTGCCGTGCCATTTAGGAGATCCAGCACCCTCTAGTTCTCACCCGCCATGTCTTTGATCTTAATAGTTAATATGGGAGGCTGCCTAGGATCTCCTATGATCTCAGGGTGACTTGGTGCACCCCAGCCTTCTGGGCTATGCGTGCCTCCTACCTCCCCTTTAGCACGCCCCAAGCCTCGCAGCTCTTCCGGATGTTTTTAGTGTCTCCAATCTTATACTAGCCCCTCCTGGGCTTTACTCTTGCAGGCTGGCCCCCCCTGGGCCTATGCCACGCGCTTCCTGCGCTCTTCCCCTCGCTGGGGCCTGTCTCTGCGCCTCTGGCGCTCTTGCCCCTCAC